TCATAAAATTATATCGTACCAATTATTTCAATTTTTTTAATTTTAAAAACAAAACCATACTTTTTGATATTGATGCCGTTACTTCGGTTTTGTTTGGTTTCGGTATGGTTTAGTACGGTTTTTACAGTTTTTTTAATTAAATTAAAATATTTAAATAAATTAATAAAAATTTTATAAAATCACACAAAAAAAATTCTTTTAGTATATAATTAATATGAAAAAATCAAATTATTTCAAGATTATATAATGTTAATAATTTCCTATATTTAAAAATTTAATTTCAAAATTTTTATTAATAATCATCTATAACTTTTATGTTCTTGATATCACAATATATTAGAAATAAATTAAAAATTATATAAAAACAATGAAAAAGTTAATTTTGTTTAACCTAATTTAATATGAACTTTTAATCAAGTTAATTAAAGACTTATCATTATTAGATGATTTAATTAACTTACATATAATATAAATACTTTAATTAAAAACTTATAATCCAATTATTTAGAAATTTAATAATTTTATATATAATATAAATAATTTAATAAATTATTATGCATAATATATGAGAATGAAATAGTTTAAATTTTAATTTTATTTTTCTTTAAATATATATTCATTATTTTACACTTATTTTTTATTGATAGTTAAAATATAAAATTCAACAATTTCTATTTTAAAAATTGAAATTTAATTCTCAATTATTTGTATTTATTTGACAGTTGTTTTTTTTTTAATTTAAGGTTTTTTATGGGAAAAAAGTTTAATATTTAGTTCAAATTTTTCTGTATGTAATTTTTTTCATTTAAATTTTTTTCTCTAAAACTACTTTTTAGATCTGTTTAGGAAATCTTTTTATTTATTTATAATGAAAAGTGTATTTAGGAAATTTTTTTTTTAAGTTAGGGCTTATCATGTGTTACGTAATTTATGAAATTTAAATTATGTGATAAATTGGTAAGTGATTCACTATATTATAACATAAATTTGATAATAAAAGAAAAAATAAAAAAGAATGATCTCATTTACTAATAAATGTATAAGTTAATAAATTAGTTTTAAGCGTGTAAAATATTTATTAGAATCTTTTTTACACTTTAATTCATAATATTTATACATTTTTTTATATAAGTCCTTAACCTTTTAATTTCTTTAATTTACTATTGAATTATAGTTAATATTTTAAAATTTAATTATTTTATATATGATATAAATAATTTAATAAATTATTATATATAATATTCAGTTTAATTCGATTTTTTTGTTAATTTTAAATTTATAAAATTAAAATCATACTAAAATATTTGATACGATATTACTTAATATCAAAATTTATATATTTTTTTAATTTAATTTTTGATATGATTCGATTTGATGTAATTTTTAAAAATCATGGTCACGTCTGAATATCGCTTATTACAAAAAAGTGATGATTTTAATACTAGATACTTTCTGATAAGACGAGACGACGCTCCAAAAAACGTGGGCCCGCTTAAGTCCCAGCAAAACAAAAATGATAATGCAGCGGGTCCCACTGCCTTATCTTTATGTCCTTGGAAAGCAAAATTATGAAGCACGACATCTTTATATAATATCTACCGCTCCAGCTCTCCAACTTGCATTTTAGGGCACGTTTGGTACGGTGGATAAGAGTTTGTTTATTTTTATTTTATTTAGATTTATGTTTAATAAGTTAGATAAAGTAGAATTAAATAAAATTTGAATAAAAAAGAGATTAGATAATAGTAGGGTCAAATTCGGATAAACTATATTACGAGGAGGGATAAGATAATTTTATCCGATTCCTACTCAACTTATTTGGACATTACTACCCCTACTACCACTACTAGTCACCACTTTGGTCATCTCCATTAAATAAGATAATTATTTCGATCACTATGTGGTCAGGATAATTTATTCAATTATCTGCCCTATCCTGCCTTATCCGATTCATCCTATCAAATGACCCCTTAGTATATTCTAATTTCAGACCTTTGGGAATGATTGTGCTGCGATTCAATGAGAGGTGGCAAACGGAGCCGTAGCATTTTACTGTGTTTTATTTTTTGAAAAATTTAAATAAATAATAAATATTATATTAAAAAATTTATTTATTAAAAGAAAAGAGATCAATTAATATTAGTGTAAGTGTAAAAAATTTATACTAAATCTTATACTATTGATTTGGTTAAAATTAACAGATGAGATCAATTAAAAAAAAAATAATTGTAAATTAATTATTAAAAATTATTGGAATCTAGCTGTAAATAATCTGATCCATTAATTTTGACCAAATTAAAAGCGTAAGATTTGGTGTAAATTTTTACATTTACACCAATGTCAATTAATCCATTCTCTTATTAGAAGACATAGATTTTTAAATAAAGTGTAAATAATAATAATTTTTAAGTAATTCATTTTTTATTAAAAACGCATAAATTTAACAGAATTTGTTATCTTCACCTAAGTACATTCAGATTAAACTCAAGTTACTTTGAATTGGTAAATTGAAGATGAGATCAAAATTTGGACAGAGAGTCGTTTTATTTAATCCTGCCTTTCATTTTCTCAAGCACCAGTAGCTATGAGTGATGTGAATAAAATCATTTATCGTAAACTTTTTATAATAATATTTTGGATTTAAAGTCCAAGAAGTAGTCGGAGAGTTTGTTGGCTAACGAGAATGTTAGCTTGTTATTACATGTTGGCCATGCAGCGGCTTAATTATTTTCTCAAGGAAAAGGAAAATGGGTATAACCCAGAAAGGCCATTATCTTCTTGCCTTAGTCTTTTCATGCTAAAAAATTCTAAAGGAAAAGCTCCTAAAATTTCTAATTTAAACCCACCGAAGAAATAAAGCAAAATGATAGTTGGAATTTAAGGAAAAAAAGAGAGGGTTTCAAACCCAGATCGCCATGGCCGCTTGCTTGCTCACGTTTCGGACGGGAAGGAGAGGAAGAATGAGAGAGATAAGATGAAGGGAAAGGCCCCTCTCAAGGTTTGACAAGACATAGATCCATTAACTTTTTTAATGATCAAAAGTAATTCTATTGGATAGGGGGTTAACGAACTGTCACTCCGTGTAGACAAGGGTTTATCTGTCTTTTCACATGTATGACAAGTGGCAGCAGATCCTCAGTGAATTGCACGGTGGTTTGGTTTAAAGGATGCGCTGCCTTGGAGAGGCCATCAACTGCTCGAATACCATCAGCCAGTTTAGAGAGACACTTCAGAGATAGAGAGATGGCTGCTGTGGAGAGCAGAGAGTGGTACATGGCTGCCTATGTACCCGAGGGAGTTCCATCGTCCGATCATCTCAAACTCCGGACGATAAAACTTCCACTCGACTCTGACTCAATCCCTGATCAACATGTGGCGGTTGAAGTCCTCTGGATATCCGTCGATCCGTTCATACGCTCCAAAATGACTGGCAAAGACGAGGGCCTGTACTTTCCCCAGTTTGGCCTCGGCGAGGTCCGCAGATTACAACTCCACCTCAAAGTCCCTTTCCCTGCCGGAAACTAATATGCAACTCTAAACGCAGGTGATTACAGAGCCCGCGATCGGAAGAGTAGTTCGGTCCAAGGACGGAAAATTCAGCGAGGGGGATCTTGTGCTGAACTCTTCGTCTCCGGTTGCAGAGTACTATGTGGTACCGGCTGCGGTCCTCCGGAAGATCGACCCAACGGCTGGGGTCGATCTGCCGGATTATCTCAGTGCTCTCGGTATGGTTCGATTCTGTTGTGAAGTTCCCGACTATTGTACGGGTTAAATCTGTATCATTAAATTTATATATAACATGTAACCCTTATAATCTTGGGCTGCTCGGTTAATTTTAACTTTATCGGTGGGTAAATGTGCAATTAAATAGGATTGCCTGGGTTTACTGCATGGCTGGGGATAGAGGTGATCGGAGAAGCCAAGCCGGGATCGAATGTATACATATCAGCGGCAGCCGGCGGCGTTGGAATGTTCGCCGGCCAGTTGGCGAAGCTTAAAGGCTGTCGAGTGGTTGGGAGCGCTGGTTCGGACGAGAAGGTAAATCTTGAAGATCTTTTTCTTGGAGGAATATAAATCACACATTCAGATTCTTTGCGGCCAAAAAGAAAAGCTACCAAAATGATTATTATTACTTTTTACCCCCTTTTTGGGCTTAGTTGTGTTTTTCTTTTAAAAAAAACCTAAAATTTTTGAATAAATTTTTTACCCAAATACAAATTTTTAAAATAATTTTATTTGTTGTCATCTCCTAATTCTAATTATTTATAAAAAAAAAAACAGATTTGATTTTCTAATTATTTTTATTTTAAAAATTTAGAGTCAAAAATTTCTTCTTGTAACAAAAAAGTTCGTGGATTAAATTTTAAAGATTTAAATTTGCATTAATTTGAATAATTCCTAAGTTTGGGGTTTTAAAGTACATAATTTTGAAATTCTAAAAATATTAAATATATTTCCAAACCCAATTAAGGAAGTCTGCATCAAGCAAACCCTCAGCGTAACTGCTTTGATCTAGTTTTCAATTTTCGAAATCCATGTGTAGATGTTTCTTCGTCCTCTCTAATGTTTATTATTGTTGTTATTTGAAATTTATGTACATATATTTCTCCATCTTCTAATGTTTATTATTATTATTATTGTTGTTATTATTGATGTGTTTCTAATTAGCTTGCATTTTCCTTTTGTACTTGCTGGAAAACATTCAAGGTGAAGCTGCTAAAGGAGGAATTTGGATATGATGAAGCATTCAACTACCATAAAGAGACTGATTTTGATGCTGCTTTAAGCAAGTAATATATTTTATTTTTATATTTTTTAAAATACAACATGGGTTATTGTTTGTAATTTGAAAAGCTTCAAATGAAGATGTGTCCAAACTATATATATATATAGAGCTCCATCTGAAGTAGTGGCCACAATGACAAATTTTCAAATTTGAAATTAAATTAATGTTGATTGTTTAAAAGTTATGGAGAAAATTAATGAAAATAATTTGAGAAATGACGTGTGAATATAAAAAATTCCCTAAAATATGGGACAAAAATGAGTCAATAACAATTTGCTATTGGAAGGTCTATTTTTTATTTAAAAATTATTTTTAATCAATTCATCTCACATTCTTATCCATTTAATAACATTCAGTCACATGTGAATGATTTTTGAAGCATAAAACTAAATAAACGTTTCAGATACTGCCCTAATGGCATAGACATTTACTTTGAGAATGTTGGTGGCAAGATGCTAGAGGCCGTTCTCAATCATGTCAACAAACATGCTCGCATTCCCCTCTGCGGTATGATATCTGATTACAATACGGTATGTAAATCATTCTTTCATTACTACTACTACTACTATTATTATTATTATTATTATTATTATTGACACAATAAAAATATAAAAAATTTAAATATGGAAAAATGTCCCCTGAAATATGGATCTTGATGGCATTACATTTGCACGGTTAAAGACGTAAAATATTGATTGCTGTGCAGCCATGGACAGAGAGGGAAGGGGTGAGGAACCTACTAAACATGGTGGGTAAAGAAGTGATGATGAAAGGGTTTTTGGTCCCTTCATACTTGAACCGGTTTGGGGACTTTGTGAAGGAGATGGAAGGCTACTTCAAACAAGGAAAGATTAACTCCAAGCACAAGGTTTATAATGGGATAGAGAGCTTCCAGGAGTGCTTTGCCTCCCTCTTCACTAGCTCCAATGTTGGAAAAGTTGTCATCCAAGTCAAGCCATAATTTCTAAGTACGTACCTAATATTTCAGCCTTTTTAGGACAATAAAGGGCTTTTATGTCTTTTTATCTGCCTAGATTTTCACGTTTGCCTTAGTTTGTGAATGCTTTTTGATTAATAGAATAATGAATGCTCTTTGTGCTGGGCAGAGCCTCTTTCGTCTTTCAGAAACTCCCTTCATGTTTGGTTTTATCTGTATGGTTTATACTCTTGAACTAATTGGGGTAAAGTTGGCGTAATCTTTCCGCAGATTAAGCGAGAAATGAAAGCAAAAACAGGTATTTTCAATGATTATTCGGATAAAAAAAAACCATTATGACGTGACAAAGTAGCAGCCCAGCCCAGATGACCCGAAACAGAGCAATATGCCAAGAAGATGAAATAAAGTTGCCTATAAATCAACTAGAGCGATTCAGAATACAAGGATATACGTACATCTCCCACTTTCAGATGATCTCACTTGAAACACCCTATCCAGGAAGTACAACGGATTAGTTGATGGGGAAGCATCCTCCCACCTTGAGACGTGTCATCTTCTTTTTTCTTTTATTTTTGTTTTAAGTTTGTTCAACCGATAGCAACTTGAAACTTTGCTTCTACTTCTCCCTTCCTCTGTTCTCTCTCACGGGCCAGCAGAGCAAAAAGTGGGTTTTGAAATTTAAACCCACCTTTCTGGAACTTAGACCCACCACTATCTCTCTCGTTCAAAAATCTCAATTTTACAGAGCACCGTGGAATGGATTGTGAAAAATTAGAATGCTAATATAAGTTTAATTTCAATATATTATATTATTATTATTGTAATTATTGTTATTATTATTATTATTTTAAATGTTCAAATTCCTATTTGAAATCCAATCAAATCTATTGATTTAGATATATTATCTAAATTCATATACAAAATTCAAATTTAAAATTAAGTTTAGAATTTGAAATCTAGATCCAGTGTCTAATTTATTATCTAAATTTAAAATATAAGTCTTTACACAAAAATTAAATTTAAAATTTAAATCTAAATCTAGATCTATATTCATTACCCAATCTCTTAGTTCTAATATTATAACCCAAAACAAACCCAAAATCTATATTCTCAATTATAATTCTAGTTTTATTAGATTTGGATTTATAATTCCAAAATCATCTCAAAACCTTTAAAACTGAAACCTGGAACAATCATCCAAATCTAGTCCCAATATGGGGTACATATCATAATTCAACATTCAACCTAATTTCACATAATCGTGATTGAATCCAAAAATTCAAACCTAAACAAGATTCATACTTGATTAATAAGGTTGTCTTCTTGTGTCATTGTCAAGAAAATCTTGCAGAGCAATGGAGAAGGCAATATAAATTGACAATTGTGTCTTGACGATTTCTTCCATAGCCTAATGTGATTAGGTGAAATTAAATAAGAAATCTTGTTCTAATGGCTTATATTATTGATATAATTGTGTGCTTAATTTGAGATCAAATCATGTAAATATGAAAGATTTGATAGATTTATATCGGGGTTTCAGATAAAAAAATAAGAATAATGATCAAACTCAAATTTTGAAAATTTTCAATTCAGTACCTTAATTCCTAATTACACGTGATTTAGTCAATAACTATTTCTGATTCATTACATTTGGATTTTCTAAATTCTTAAATAAACTCTATTTTTTTGGATGTTACAATAAGTGTGCGTGTATTTTCAATCCAATCACTAAATCCTCGAACCTGGTGATGATATTTGACCTTAGTAAAAACTACATAAAATTTTTACTCAAAATACTAAAAATGGACTAATTTAGAACATAACTAGTGGTAAAGGACCACAAAGTAAATATAATAAGGTTATTTTTTTTTTACTTTTTAAATTTTTTAAGACATTAAGTCATTATCAATTAATACATACGGAATGACATACAAAAAATATACCTTTTACTTTACCCAAAATAACACCAGCAAGTCATTTATCACAAGGAGAATTCTACAGGTATTTATTGTGTTATAAAACCCTTGCCTAGGTGAACCACCAATAAAATTAGTCTACGTGGAGAAGGCAGAAACATGTTATCAAAAGATTTAATTGAAAAATAAAATATTTGAGCAATTTAAATGTAAAATGTATTTATCTTCAAATTTTTAATATATCGAGAGATAATGTGGATATTTTTATTTGGAATAAAATGTTATTTTATAAATTTTTATTTTCTATGTGACAAATTTTATTTATTCATGTGTACAGAATTTAGAAGCCCAGAAACCTTTATTGAAGTATTCTCCTTATCACATTGACCTTTCTAATACCTAACGTCTCGAATGTAGGTTAGTCAAGTGCTTTCTAACAGTTGATAAATTAATCTCAACCACTTACCTAAGTATAGCTTTTGTGTCTTTTTATTACAACCTTTTTTTTTCTGTTTTTATAAGTACATCAATTTTTTTTTTTTTTTATTGCTGTACCGAATCTAAAGACTTAATTCTCCTTTATATGTTTTATATAATATTATAAATTTCATATTTTGAATTAAAATGTATTTTTTCTCTTTCATATCCCTCTCTCCTAGGCTCCGAAAATTGCCTAAATGGAGTCCACGCTCTCCCTCGAATCAACCTTCATCGTCCGAACACAAGCAATCAATGAGTCCAATTATCTCTGGTGAAAATCCGACACCGGCAATTTCTATACACCTTGTTTGACTCAGGCTCGCCCCCCTCTGCAAGCTCCAAGATCTCTCTCTAGCAATTCGGCTCCGCCCTCCTAGAAATTTCTCAAACTTGGCTTCAACGAGCAAGGGAGAAAGACAGCTCTATTCTGTATTCGCTACCAATCTTGTTCTCCATCGAACATGCTTTGTCTCTCCTTTTGGGCGACTATAACTGAAGCAATCGGCTGGATTTCTCAGATTGGGCTTCGATGAGCAGGGGAGAAAGACACCTCTCTCTGTGCATCCGCCGCCGGCCTTGTTCTCCATCAAACATTTTGCTACTGCTTTTCGGCGACTATGACTAGAGCAATCAGCCAGGTTTTGTCCATGGAATGGGGAATAAGATAAACAGGAACTTTATTCAGATTTAGTCCCTCAAATTTCCGTTGCTGATCATTATGGTCTGCATATCTTCCTCATTTATACATTAGCCCCTTAACTTTAATTTTATTCAATTATAACCCTAGGCTCCGTACTACAAGAAAAATTAAGGATAAAAAACAATTTCTATATTACTAAAATAATATTCAGTCTCATTTTTATCATGAATAAATAATTTTATTTTTTAACTAAATGTTAATTAATAGTTACTCATTAATTTTATCAAAAAAAATATGAGAGTAAATTAATTTTACATGATTAAAAATATTATTATTTGATTTATTTAAGAATATTTTTTAAAATTTCTTATTTTTAGTTTTGAAAATAAATAATTTACCTTTTAATAATTTAAATTTAGTTTTTATTTTAAATATTAAAATAAGAATGAATTGAGTGAGAAAAAAATTATTTTAATTTTTAATCAAATAGTTAATTCAAGTAAGTAAATTTGGATCACCTTCACCTTATTTTTAACAAAATTAGTAAATAATTATTAATTAAAAAAGAAACTATTTTTTGTAATAAAAGGGTTAAAATATCATTTAACTAAATTTTAAAAAAGAATGGCTATTTTTTACCTAAAAACTAATATTTAATAATTAAATAACATATTATATCCACGTGGCATAATTAGAACGGGTGTTGCACGATCAATCAGTACATGACTGACTTGTGCTAGACAACCTCTTGTAACAAAAGAATAATGAATTTGATATTTAATGCTCTCTAATAAGATGACACAACATGTCAACTACTCGATGGTGCTGTCAATATGAAACTCACCCAAAAATCGTGGGCCCCTGACATCCCGGCAAAACAAAAATGATAATGCAGCGGTTCCCACTGCCTCATCTTTATGTCTTGGGAAGCAAAATTCTGAAGCACGGCATCTTTATGTAAAATCCATCGCTCGCAACTTGCGTTTTACTATATCCTAATTTCAGATCTTTGGCGATGGCTGTGCTGAGATTCAATGAGGTGGCAGTTAACGAAAACGGAGCCGTCAGCATTTTGCTGTGTTTTATTTTTTAAAAATTTAAATAAATAATAAATATTATATTAAAAAATTCACTTTATTAAAGTGCATAAATTTTTAAAAAAGGTATAAATAATAATTTTTAAGTAACTCATATTTTATTAAAAACACATAAATGGATTCAGATTAAACTCAAATTACTTTGAATTGGTAAATTGAGGATGAGATTAAAATTTGGATAGTGAGTCGTTTTATTTAATCCTGCCTCTCGTTTTCTCAAACACCAGTAGCTATGAGTGATGTGAATAAAATCATTTATCATAAGCTTTTCATAATAATATTTTGGATATAAAGTCCAAGAAGTGGTCGTAGAGTTTGTTGGCTAACGAGAATGTTAGCTTGTTGTTATATGTTTGGCCATGCAGCGGCTTAATTATTTTCTCAAGGAAAAGGAAAATGGGTGCCATTATCTTCCTGCCTTACTCTTTTCTTACTCAAAAATTCTAAAGAAAAAGCTCCTCAAATATCTAATTTAAACCCACCAAAGAAATAAAGCAAAATGATAGTTGGAGTTTAAGGAAAAAAAGAGAGGGTTTCAAAATCAGATCGCCATGGCCGCTTGCATGCTCACGTTTCGGACGGGTAAGAGAGGAAGAATGAGAGAGATAAGATGAAGGGAAAGGCTCCTCTCAAGGTTTGACAAGACATAGCGCCATTAACTTTTTTGATGATCAAAAGTAAGTCTATTGGGTTGGAGATTAACGCACTGTCACTCCGTGTAGACAAGGGTTTGTCTGTCTTTTCACATGTAGGACAAGTGGCAGCAGATCCTCAATGAAGTGCACAGTGGTTTAGTTTAAAGAGTGCGCTGCCTTGGGGAGGCTACCAACATTTCGAATACCATGAGGCAGCGTAGAGAGATACTTCAGAGATAGAGAGAGATGGCTGCTGTGGAGAGCAGAAAGTGGTACATGGCTGCCTATGTACCCGAGGGAGTTCCATCTTCCGATCACCTCAAACTCCGGACGATAAAACTTCCACTCGACTCTGACTCAATCCCTGATCAACATGTGGCGGTTGAAGTCCTCTGGATATCCGTCGATCCCTTCATACGCTCCAAAATGACTGGCAAAGACGAGGGCCTGTACTTTCCCCAGTTTGGCCTCGGCGAGGTCAGCAGATTACAACTCCACCTCAAAGTCCCTTTCCCTGCCGGAAACTAATATGCAACTCTAAATGCAGGTGATTACAGAGCCCGCGATCGGAAGAGTAGTTCGGCCCAAGGACGGAAAATTCAGCGAGGGGGATCTTGTGCTCAACTCTTCGTCTCCGGTTGCAGAGTACTATGTGGTACCGGCTGCGGTCCTCCGGAAGATCGACCCAACGGCTGGGGTCGATCTGCCGGATTATCTCAGTGCTCTAGGTATGGTTCGATTCTGTTGTGAAGTTCCCGATTATTGTACGGGTCAAATCAGTATCATTAAATTTATATATAACATGTAGGCCATATAATGTTGGGCCGCTTGGTTAATTTTAACTTTTCCGGTGGGTAAATGTGCAATTAAATAGGAATGCCCGGGTTTGCGGCATGGCTGGGGATAGAGGTGATCGGAGAAGCCAAGCCGGGATCGAATGTATACATATCAGCGGCAGCTGGCGGCGTTGGAATGTTCGCCGGGCAGTTGGCGAAGCTCAAAGGCTGTCGAGTGGTTGGAAGCGCTGGATCGGACGAGAAGGTATATCTTGAAGATCTTTTCCTTGGATCAATATAAATCGCACCTTCAGGTTCTTTGTGCCAAAAAAGGAAAAGCTACCAAAATGATTATTATTATTTTTTACCCACTTTTTGGGCTTAGTTGTGTTTTAAAATAATTTTATTTATTGTCATCTCCTAATTCTAATTATTTATAAAAAAAACAGATTTGATTTTCTAATTATTTTTATTTTAAAAATTTTAGAGTCAAAAATTTCTTCTTGTAACAAAAAAGTTCGTGGATTAAATTTTAAAGATTTAAATTTGCATTAATTTGAATAATTCTTAACTTTGGGCTTTTAAAGTACATAATTTTGAAATTATAAAAATATTAAATATATTTCCAAACCCAATTAAGGAAGGTCTGCATCAAGCAAACCCTCAGCGTATCTGCTTTGATCTAGTTTTCAATTTTCAAAATCCATGTGTAGATATTTCTCCATCCTCTCTAATGCTTATTATTGTTGTTATTCGAAATTTATGTACTTATATTTCTTCATCTTATTATTATTATTGTTGTTGTCGTTGTCGTGGTCATTGTGGTCGTGGTGTCGTCGTCTTTCTAATTATCTTACATTTTCCTTTTGTACTTGCTGGAAAACATTCTAGGTGAAGCTGCTAAAGGAGGAATTTGGATACGATGAAGCATTCAACTACCATAAAGAAACTGATTTTGATGCTGCTTTAAGCAAGTAATATATTTTATTTTTATATTTTTTAAAATACAACATGGGTTATTGTTTGTAATTTGAAAAGCTTCAAATGAAGATGTGGCTAAATAGAATCATCTCCAAACTATATATATATATATATATATAGCTCCATCTGAAGTAGTGGCCACAATGACAAATTTTCAAAATTTGAAATTAAATTAATGTTGATTGTTTAAAAGTTATGGAGAAAATTAATGAAAATAATTTGAGAAATGACGCGTAAATATAAAAAATTCCCTAAAATATGGGACAAAAATGAGTCAATAACAAGTTGCTATTGGAAGGTCTATTTTTTATTGAAAAATTATTTTTAATCAATTCATCTCGCATTCTTATCCATTTAATAACATTCAGTCACATGTGAATGATTTTTGAAGCATAAAATTAAATAAACGTTTCAGGTACTGCCCTAATGGCATAGACATTTACTTTGAGAATGTTGGTGGCAAGATGCTAGAGGCCGTTCTCAATCATGTCAACAAATATGCTCGCATTCCCCTGTGCGGTATGATATCTGATTACAATACGGTATGTAAATCATTCTTTCATTACTATTATTATTATTGTTATTATTATTATTATTATTATTGACACAATAAAAATATAAAAAATTTAAATATGGGAAAATGTCCCCTGAAATATGGATCTTGATGGCATTGCATGGTTAAAGATGTAAAATATTGATTGCTGTGCAGCCATGGACAGAGAGGGAAGGGGTGAGGAACCTACTAAACATGGTGGGTAAAGAAGTGATGATGAAAGGGTTTTTGGTCCGTTCATACTTGAACCGGTTTGGGGACTTTGTGAAGGAGATGGAAGGCTACTTCAAACTAGGGAAGATTAACTCCAAGCACAAGGTTTATAATGGGATAGAGAGCTTCCAGGAGTGCTTTGCCTCCCTCTTCACTAGCTCCAATGTTGGAAAAGTTGTCATCCAAGTCAAGCCATAATTTCTAAGTAGGTATGTACCTAATATTTCAGCCTTTTTAGGACAATAAAGAGCTTTTATGTCTTTTTATCTGCCTTGATTTTCATGTTTGCCTTAGTTTGTGAATGCTCTTTGCTTTATAGAATAATGAATGCTCTTCGTGCTGGGCAGAGCCTCTTTCGTCTTTCAGAAACTCCCTTCATGTTTTGGCTTTATCTGTAAGGTGTATACTCTTGAACTAATTGGGGTAAAGTTGGCGTAATCTTTCCACAGATTAAGCGAGAAATGAAAGCAAAAACAGGTATTTTCAATGATTATTCGAATAAAAAGAAAACCATTATGACTTGACAAAGTAGCAGCCCAGCCAGATGACCCGAAACAGAGCAATATGCCAAGAAGATGAAATAAAGTTGCCGAGTATAAATCAACTAGAGCGATTCAGAATACAAGGATATACGTACATTTCCCACTTTCAGATGATCTCCCTTGAAACACCCTATCCAGGAAGTACAACGGATTAGTTGATGGGGAAGCACACTCCCACCTTGAGACGTGTCATCTTCTTTTTTCTTTTATTTTTGTTTTAAGTTTGTTCAACCGATAGCAACTTGAAACTTTGCTTCTACTTCTCCCTTCCTCTGTTCTCTCCCACGGGCCAGCAGAGCAGAAAGTGGGTTTTGAAATTTAAACCCACCTTTCTGAAACTTAGACCCACCACTCTCTCTCTCATTCATTCAAAAATCTCAATTTTGCAGAGCACCGTAGAATGGATTGTGAAAAATTAGAATGCTAATATAAGTTTAATTTTAATATATTATATTACTATTATTGTAATTATTATAATAATTATTATTATTTTAAAGGTTCAAGTTTTTATTTGAAATTCAATCAAATCTATTAATTTAGATCTATTATTTAAATTCATATACAGAATTCAAATTTAAAATTAAGTTCAGAATTTGAAATCTAGATGCAGAGTTCAATTCACTGTCTAAATTCAAAATACAAGTCTTTACATAAAAATTAGATTTAAAATTCAAATCTAAATCTAAATCCATATTCATTACTCAATCTCTTAGTTCCAACATTACAACTCAAAACAAATTCAAAATCTATATTCTCAATTATAATTTTAGTTTTATTAGATGTGTGCCTATAATTTCAAAATCATCTCAAAACCTTCAAAACTAAAACCTAGAACCATCATCCAGATATAGTCCCAATATGGGGTATATATCATAATCCAACATTTAACCCATTTTCACATAATCGTGATTGAATCAAAAAGTTCAAACCTAAACAAGATTCATACTTGATTAATAAGTTTGTCTTATTGTGTCATTTGTGAAGAAAATTCTGCAGTAAGACAAATTTTCAAGTCTACAATGGTGGTTTCTAATGCTGAAGAGACTTAAGATAACTCCTTTATCTTCATCAATTGAACAAAATTAAAACTAAAAACGATGTTGATACTTGCAGCAGCGATGGAGAAGGTGATAGAAATTGACAATTTTGTCTTGACGATTTCTCACATGGCCTAAGGTGATTAGGTGAAATTAAATAAGAAATCTCATTCTAATGGCTTATATTGATATGATTGTGTACTTAATTTAAGATCAAATCATGTAAATATGAAAGATTTGATAGAATTATATTAGGGTTTCGGATAAGAAAATAAGAATAATGACCAAATTCATATTTTGAAAATTTTCAATTCAGTACCTTAATTCTTGATTACAAGTGATTTAATGAATAACTATTTTTAATTCATTACATTTGGATCCCTTTTTGTTTCTAAAATCTTAAATAAACCCTAAATTTTTTGGGTGTTACAATAAGTGTGCATGTATTTTCAAACCAATCACCAAATCCTCGAGCATGGTGATGATATTTGACCTTAGTTAAAACTATATAAAATTTTTACTCAAAATACTAAAAATGGACTAATTTAGAACATAACTAGTGGTAAAGGACCACAAAGTAAATATAATAAGGTTTTTATTTTGAGTTTTTAAAATTTTTTAAGACATTAAGTCATTATCAATTAATAAATACGGAATGACATACAAAAAATATACTTTTTAATTTACCCAAAATAACACCAGCAAGTCATTTATCACAAGGAGAATTCTACAGTTATTTATTGTGTTATAAAACCCTTGCCTAGGTGTACCACCAATAAAATTAGTCTATGTGGAGAACGCAGAAACATGTTATCAAAAGATTTAATTGAAAAATAAAATATTTGAGCAATTTAAATGTAAAATGTATTTATTTTCAAATTTTCAATATATAGAGAGATAATATAGATATTTTTATTTGGAATAAAATGTTATTTTATAAATTTTTATTTTCTATGTGACAAATTTTATTTATTCATGTGTTCAGAATTTAGAAGCCCAGAAACCTTTATTGAAGTGTTCTCCTTATCACATTGACCTTTCTAATACCTAGCGTATCGAATGTAGGTTAGTCAAGTGCTTTCTAACAGTTGATAAATTAATCTCAACCATTGTCCTAAGTACAGCTTTTGTGTCTTTTTGTTACAACCCTTTTTTTTTTTTTTTCTGTTTTTACAAGTACATCAATTTTTTTTTTTATTACTGTACCGAATCTAAAGACTTAATTCTCCTTTTATATGTTTTCTATAATATAAATTTCATATTTTGAATTAAAATTTATTTGTTCTCTTTCATATCCCTCTCTCCTAGGCTCCGGAAATTGCCTAAATGGAGTCCACACTCTCCTTCGAATCAACCTTCATCGTCCGAACACAAGCAATCAATGAGTCCAATTATCTCTGGTGAAAATCCGACATCGGCAATTTCTATACACCTTGTTTGACTCAGGCTCGCCCTCCTCTGCAAGCTCCAAGATCTCTCTCTAGCAATTCGGCTCCGCCCTCCTAGAAATTTCTCAAACTTGGCTTCAACGAGCAAGGGAGAAAGACAGCTCTATTTCTGTATTCGCTACCAATCTTGTTCTCCATCGAACATGCTTTGTCTCTGCTTTTTGGCGACTATAACTGAAGCAATTGGCTGGATTTCTCAGATTGGGCTTCGACGAGCAGGGGAGAAAGACCCCTCTCTCTGTGTATCCGCTGCTGGCCTTGTTCTCCATCAAACACTTTGCTACTGCCTTTCGGCGACTATGACTAAAGCAATCAGCCAGGTTTTGTCCATGGAATGGGGAGGAAGATAAACAGTGAACTTTATTCAGATTTAGTCCCTCAAATTTCCGTTGCTGATCATTATGGTCTGCATATCTTCCTCATTTATACATTAGCCCCTTAACTTTAATTTTATTCAATTATAACCCTAGGCTGGGTATTACAAGAAAAATTAAGGATAAAAAACAATTTCCAGTTTGCTAAAATAACGTTCAGTTACATTTTTATCGTGAAAAAATAATTTTTTTTAACTAATTGTTAATTAATAGTTACTCAATAATTTTATTAAAAAAGATATAAGAGTAAGTAAATTTTACATGTTTTAATTCCTCGTTGGATTAAAAATGTTATTATTTGATTTATTTAAGAGTATTTTTTAAAGTTTTTTATTTTTAATTTTAAAAATAAACAATCTAGTTTTTAAAAATTTAAATTTAGTTTTTATTTTAAATATTAAAATAAAAATGAAATGAATGAATAAAATAATTTTTTAATTTTTAATTAGATAGATAATACAAATAAGTAAAATGGATCACCTACAATTTATATTTAACAAAATTGATAAATAATTATTAATTAAAAAAAAAATTTATAATAAAAGGGTTAAAATATTATTTAAAAAAGAATGACTATTTTTTTTATCTAAAAATTAATATTTAATAATTAAATAATATATTATATCCACGTGGCATAATTAGAACGGGTGTTGCACGATCAATCAATACATGACTGACTTGCGCTAAACAACCTCTTGTCACAAAAGAATAACGAATTTGATATTGAATACTCTTTAATAAGATGACACTAAATGTCAATTACACGATGATGCTGTCAATATGAAACTGACCCAAAAAACGTGAGCCCGCTAACATCCCAGCAAAACAAAAATGATAATGCAGCGGGTCCCACTGCCTCATCTTTATGTCTTGGGAAGCAAAATTATGAAGCACGACATCTTTACGTAAAATCCATCACTCTCAACTTGCATTTTACTATATCCTAATTTCAGATCTTTTGCGATGATTGTGCTGCGATTCAATGAGGTGGCAGTTAACGAAAACGGAGACGACGGCATTTTACTGTGTTTTATTTTTTTAAAAATTTAAATAAATAATAAATATTATATTAAAAAATTCACTTTATTAAAGTGCATAAATTTTTAAATAAAGCATAATAATAATTTTTTAAGTAACTCATTTTTTATTAAAAACACAGAAATGCATTCAGATTAAGCTCAAATTACTTTGAATTGGTAAATTGAGGATGAGATTAAAATTTGGATAGAGAGTCGTTTTATTTAACCCTGCCTCTCGTTTCCTCAAACACCAGTAGCTATGAGTGATGTGAATAAAATCATTTATCATAAATTTTTATAATAATATTTTGGATATAAAGTCCAAGAAGTGGTCGTAGAGTTTGTCGGCTAACGAGAATGTTAGCTTGTTGTTATATGTTGGCCATGCAGCGGCTTAATTATTTTCTCAAGGAAAAGGAAAATGGGTGCCATTATCTTCCTGCCTTACTCTTTTCTTACTCAAAAATTCTAAAGAAAAAGCTCCTCAAATATCTAATTTAAACCCACCAAAGAATTAAAAGCAAAATGATAGTTGGAATTTAAGGAAAAAAAGAGGGGGTTTAAAAATCAGATCGCCATGGCCGCTTGCTTGCTCATGTTTCGGACGGGAAAGAGAGGAAGAATGAGAGAGATAAGATGAAGGGAAAGGCTCCTCTCAGGTTTGACAAGACATAGCGCCATTAACTTTTTTAATGATCAAAAGTAAGTCTGTGGGATAGGAGGTTAACGGGCTGTCACTCCGTGTAGACAAGGGTTTATCTGTCTTTTCACATTAGGACAAGTGGCAGCAGATCCCAATGAAGTGCACAGTGGTTTGGTTTAAAGGGTGCGCTGCCTTAGGGAGGCTACCAACTTTTCGAATACCATCGGGCAGTGTAGAGAGATACTTCAGAGATAGAGAGAGATGGCTGCTGTGGAGAGCAGAGAGTGGTACATGGCTGCCTATGCACCCGAGGGAGTTCCATCGTCCGATCATCTCAAACTCCGGACGATAAAACTTCCACTCGACTCTGACTCAATCCCTGATCAACACGTGGTGGTTGAAGTCCTCTGGATATCCGTCGATCCCTTCATACGCTCCAAAATGACTGGCAACGACGGAGGCCTGGACTTTCCCCAGTTTGGCCTCGGCGAGGTCCGCAGATTACAACTCCACCTCAAAGTTCCTTTCCCTCCCGGAAACTAATATGCAACTCTAAATGCAGGTAATTACAGAGTTAGCGATCGGAAGAGTAGTTCGGTCCAAGGACGGAAAATTCAGCGAGGGGGATCTTGTGCTCAACGCTTTCTCTCCGGTTGCAGAGTTCTATGTGGTACCGGCTGCGGTCCTCCGGAAGATCGACCCAACGGCTGGGGTCGAACTGCCGAATTATCTCAGTGCTCTAGGTATGGTTCGATTCTGTTGTGAAGTTCCCGATTATTGTACGGGTCAAATCAGTATCATTAAATTTATATATAACATGTAGGCCATATAATGTTGGGATGCGTGGTTAATTTTAACTTTTCCGGTGGGTAAATGTGCAATTAAATAGGAATGCCCGGGTTTACTGCATGGCTGGGGATAGAGGTGATCGGAGAAGCCAAGCCGGGATCGAATGTATACATATCAGCGGCAGCTGGCGGCGTTGGAATGTTCGCCGGGCAGTTGGCGAAGCTCAAAGGCTGTCGAGTGGTTGGAAGCGCTGGATCGGACGAGAAGGTAAATCTTGAAGATCTTTTCTTGGATCAACATAAATCGCACCTTCAGATTCTTTGTGCCAAAAAAGGAAAAGCTACCAAAATGATGATTATTATTTTTTAACCACTTTTTGGGCTTAGTAGTGTTTTTCTTTTCAAAAAAAAAAAACTAAAATTTTTGAATAAAAATTTTTACATAAACACAAATTTTTAAAATAATTTTATTTGTTGTCTTCTCCTAATTCAAATTATTCAAAAAATAATAAGGGATTTGATTTTCTAATTATTTTTATTTTAAAATTTTTTTTGTAACAAAAAAGTTCATGGGTTAAATTTTAAAGATTTAAATTTGCATTAATTTGAATAATTCCTAAGTTTCCGCTTTTAAAGTACATAATTTTGAAATTCTAAAAATATTTAAAATTTTAGAAATTTAAGTCTAATTCTCAGTACAAACCCAATTAAGGAAGGTCTGCATCAAGCAAACCCCACAGCATATCTGCTTTGATCTAATTTTCAATTTTTGAAATCCATGTGCAGATATTTCTCCATCATCTAATGTTTGTTATTATTGTTGTGATTGTTATTATTCGAAATCTATATGTAAGTATTTATTTTTAATATAATAATAATAATAATAATTATTATTATTATTATTATTGTTGTTGTTATTGTTATAGTGCTTTTAATTAACTTGCATTTTCCTTTTGTACTCGCTGAAAAACATTGTAGGTGAAGCTGTTAAAGGAGGAATTTGGATACGACGAAGCATTCAACTACCGTAAGGAGACTGATTTTGACGCTGCTTTAAGCAAGTAATATATTTTATTTTTATATTTTTAAATATACAACATGGGTTATTGTTTGTAATTTTGAAAAGTTTCAAATCAAGACGGCTGTCAATAAGTTGGATTTTAATTCGAATCCATTCTAAAATTTAAGTTTTTTAACTGATTAAAATGTTCGATAGATTAAATTCGATTATAAATATTCGTAATTCAAAATAAATAGACTGGATATGAAATTAAACAATACAATTTATTAAAAATCTAAATTTAAATATTTTAATAATAATTTTTATTTTATTAATAATTATATTTATATTAATAAATATTTTTATATATAATGTAATATATAAGATATTATAATTAATGATGCACTAATTTATATTTATGAGATATTTTATTAATAGAATAATGTATATTTCTCCTAAACTATTCTATAATATTATTTTATTTTCCATAATTTTAATTTTTTTAGTAGGTATTATATTTAATAATTAATTATTTTTAAAATTTCATAAAATACTTGAATAAATTGATTGTAAAATTTTTTAAATTTTAACTATAATACAAATAAAATTTGATAATTTTATAAAGTACTGGAATCCTATCATAACTTTTATAATATATTATATAACAAAAGTTCTTTTTAATCATTCATAAATAATAATTTATTTTTAAATTTTATTTATATTTTAATAAAAGTAAAATAATTAAACATAAATTTTACATGAATTTTTATTATTCATAAATAATAATTTATTTGATTGTACATATGTTTTACTTATTGGTTGTTTGATTTTAATTATTATTAAATGTTATTCATATCAGATTTTTTATTCAAATTTCGGATTTTTATCGGATTCGGATACGGTAATAATAAGTGGAAATTTTATAGGATTTCAGGTCGGATTCGGATTCGAATATATGCATTGATAATTAGATTCGGATTCGAATCATCCTAATTTGATCCGAATCCGACCCGTTTACATATCTATGAAGACGTGGCTAAATAGAATAATCTTCATAACTTTATATATATATATATATATATATATAAGGGATTAATTAATACCAGTACAAGTGTAAAAAATTTACACCAAATTTTATAACATTGATTTGATTAAAATCAAAGGTTGAAATTAATTAATATTTTTAAAAGATAAATAACTATAAGTTAGTTATTGAAAGACAGTTATAATTAATCTCAGTCGTTGATTTTGACTAAACCAATGGTATAAAATTTGATGTGAGTTTTTTACACTTATACCAGTGTCGATTGATACTTTCTCATATATATATATATATATATATAGCTCCTTATGAATTAGTGGCCACAATGACAAATTTTCAGGATTTGAAATTAAATTACTGTTGATTTTTTAGAAGTTATGGAGAAAATTAATGAAAATAATTCAAGAAATGACATATGAATATAAAAAATGCCGAAATTATAGGATAAAAATGAGTCAATAACAATTTGCTATTGGAAGGTCTATTTTTTATTTGAAAATTATTTTTAATCAATTCATCACCCATTCTTATCCTTTTAATAACATTTAGTCACATGTGAATGATATTTGAAGCATAAAACTAAATAAATGTTTCAGATACTGCCCTAATGGCATAGACATTTACTTTGAGAATGTTGGTGGCAAGATGCTAGAGGCCGTTCTCAATCATGTCAACAAATATGCTCGCATTCCCCTTTGTGGTATGATATCTGATTATAACACGGTATGTAAATCACTATTTCATTGCTACTATTACTACTATTAGGATTTAAATATGGAAAAATTATCCCCTGAATATCTTGATGGCATTTCATGGTTAAAGATGTAAATATTGACTGCTGTGCAGCCATGGACAGAGAGAGAAGGGGTGAGGAACCTACTAAACATGGTAGGTAAAGAAGTGATGATGAAAGGGTTTTTGGTCGCTTCATACTTGAACGGTTTGGGACTTTGTGAAGGAGATGGAAGGCTACTTCAAACAAGGAAAGATTAACTCCAAGCACAAGGTTTATGACGGGATAGAGTGCTTCCAGGAGTGCTTTGCCTCCCTCTTCACTAGCTCCAATATTGGAAAAGTTGTCATCCAAGTTAAGCCATAATTTCTAAGTAGGTACCTAATGTTCCAGCCTTTCTAGCGAGGACAATAAACGGCTTTTACGTGTCTTTTTATCTGCTTTGATTTTAGTATTTGCCTTAGTTTGTGAATGCTCTTTGCTTAATAGAATAATGAATATATCTATTTAAGTAGGTTTTGTGTTGGGCAGAGCCTCTTGTCTTTCAGAAAGTCTATGTTTTGGTTTTTATCTGCAAGGTTTATACTCTCGAACTGGCTGGGGTAAAGTTGGCATAATCTTTCCACAAATTAAGCAAGAAATGAAAGGAAAATAGGTATTTTCAATGATTATACGAATAAAAAAATTGTAATGGCGCAAAAAAGTAGCAGCCCAGCCAGATGACCCGCAACGGAGCAGTATGCCATGAAGATGAAATAAAGTTGCTGAGAATAAATCAACCAGATCGATTCAGAATACAAAGATATACATACGTCTTCCATTTTCAGATGATCTCACTTGAAACGCCCTATCTAGGAAGTATAACGGATTAGTTGACGGGAAAGCACCCTTCCAGCTTGACACGTGTCATCTTCCCCCCTGTTTTTGTTTTAAGTTTGTTTACCCCGTAGCAACTTGAAACGTTGCTTCTACTTCGCCCTTCCTCTATTCTCTCTCACGGCCGGCAGAGCAAAAAGTGGGCTTTGAAATTTAAACACACCGCTATCTCTCTCTCATTCAAAAATCTCAATTTTCCAGAGCACCATGGAATGGATTGTTAAAAAATTTTTCCCCTCCTGCAGTCTCTCTCTTTCATCTTGAACTAAACCTTACATCTCTCCGCTTGTTCTTGGCATGCAATTTCAATTTTTTTCGTCCTCTCACCATCTCTCTCTCCCTCATTGGAACTAAACCCGTGCACATCTCCCCGCTTGTTCGTGGTATGCAATGGTAAATTTTTTTCCCCTCTCCCTTTCTCTCTCTCTCTCTCTCTCACCCCAAACTAAGCCCAGCTCGCATCTTCCCGCTTGTTAGTGGCATGCAATGGCATGATTCTATCATTTGTTTTTTCATCCCTTTTTACTGCTTTACATCTTTAGGGATAACATAGATTTCTTTCTTCCTTCACAAAGCTGCGCTTTATTCATTTAATTGATGCATCTTAAATAAAATATAAATTTTGATTTTATGCGTGGAACCTCAAGCAGATTTAAATAATTTTGCAATCAGAAACATATACACATGAACAGGAGCTCGTGAGAAAGCATAGTGGACGCATAGAAACCACTTCCGCTACCACACTCGTCGAAATAAGCTAATTTCATAGTTTCTTTACGTTTCTACTAGCATGTTCATTGCTTTGTGTTTTTTTTTTTTTTTTTTTATTTTGTTTTGGATCTAATATAACCTGTACATACGGATACTTGTAATGTATATGTAAGGACATTGTTGATGCTGGTATTGGAAAAATTGCTATGTAGAAGAAGCACGTGAATTTTCCATTGTTATGTAGAACTCTGTATTACAGGATTTTGTTCGATTCTCTTATCACATGTGTAAATGAAAAAAAAAACAGCTACTTTTATAGTCTCAAAATAAAAAAATAAAACATTCTTTTCTTTGGATTGATCTCGTATATTTCAACAGTTAGATTCTATTGCCTGTCAAAGTAAAATGGATGAGGCTCAATTCAGCTTAATGAAAGTTAGAAAAAAGAAATTGAGATAAGCAATGAATAAAAGTAAAACACACGAAGTAGTATTTCACTCTTAAATGGCAAAACAAAAAGAAAAATTTAACTCAACACTCGTGGCCACAACACAATTAACTTTGATCCTTCCGTAACGGCCTTTTTCCATAATCAAAATTTACATAAATTATTATATTGTAAATAGAATATTTATTCTAATCTATATATGATAAACTTTAGTTTTTTTAATGTTATTATATAGGAAATAGAAAAAGCAAATAATTTAGGTTTCAAATTTCGGTTCTTGAATAATTTTTACTAATTTCAAAATTTTTTATTTATTATTTAGTTAGGTTGTGCTAGTCTAAATTATATTTATAAAATTTAGTCGTGTTTTAATTTAATATTCAAATTAAATATATTTAATATTATTTATTATCAATTATAACATATCAACTTAAATTTTAAAAAATTTAACAATTAATTATACTAATAGAAATATTTTAAAAAATTAGTATTTAAAATTTGGGAATTCAAGTGGTAAATATACCGGGGAGTTAAACATGTTAGTGTTTAGAAGAGTAACTGGTACATTGTATAATTTAAGGGTAAATAAAAAAAAGAGAAGAAAGTTTAAGGGGTAAAATAAATTTTGTCCTTTATTTTTTTTTATAATCTAACTTTGAAAATAAACTGAAGAACGTTACACAAAAGATGGGAAATTAAGTTCTAAATGCATAATTTTATAAAAATAAAATGAAAAGAATTCTGGAATTGTTTGCCAAGCATATGTTCACAAATCGTATACCAATTGATGCAACATTAAGTAATATTGTACAGCAGATAATCTATATAACCTTGATTTTGGTATATGTTTATACTCTGTTAATTGCTGTCCTAATTTCTTAGTTTGAGAGAGAATATAATGCTCCAAATGTGTTTTGTGGAGAGCACATCAATTTATTAAAAAAAAGGGAGAAAGACAGAAGCAAATAATAGTAATAAAATAATAATATAATAGAAGCAAATTGCTCGTCTATAATTAGTTTCTATTGATGCTTAAAGGAGAACAACAAAAACTTAAAAGTTTCATTTTTATTTCCATCTTTCTAATTTAACAGAATTATTTTGTTTCTCTCAATAAATCCAAAATTAATGAACTATTACAAAATCATATCCTACCACTCCAAGAAACAAGAAATTATGAAGCATAATGATTAAAATAAAAAAATAAAATAGGGAGAGAAAAAGGTGGGCTGACTTTCTTTTCCAGTGACATCGTAGACATGTGTACATGCACGTGGAACGCACTGAAAATACATTTGTGGTTATAATTAGGAACTTAGCGTGACATTTTATCACATATTAATTTATGAGATTAATGTGACATAGTGTATAAGAGGATAGCAATTATAATCAAAAAATTTGTGTTTAAATATTTTGGACCAATGGTTCAGACTTAATAAGTTATTAAGGCCAATAACTCTCGGGTCAATGGAAACTTCTTCTCCACTTTAGGAGACATTCACTTTGGGGAATAAGATATAAACTGATAGGGCAAGTAGGATAAAATTTATCCTGTCCCTACAATAACCATGTTTTTATCACATGTTCGGTTGGCCTAATAACAATCTGGATAAAAAAATTACCAAAATGCCCCTTCCCTCAAAGGCTTCGCCTTCACTCTCCTTTCCGACGACTGACCTTCCCTCTCCTCTTTGGCCGGTGACTGGCCTTCCTTCTCCTCTTTGACGACTGCAAGGCTGCTCATGCAGGTGACTGGCTTCCTTCTCCGGGCGTTTGTGTGACAGATCTGCCTGCATCTGACGCCTGTGTGACGAGCCTACTCACGCAGGCACCGACAAATCCGCCTATGGCAGATGCGCCTACGTGAGTGGCGTCGGCAGATGCTCTTATGTCCGGCACCTGCTCTTGCAGGCGTCAACAGATGCGCCTGTGCGCAAATCTGCCTGCTCAGGTAGGTGCTCATAGATCGGGCGTTGCGTGAGCTCTAGCGCCTATGTGCAGATCCACCTGCGTGGTGAGAGGTGGATTGCGTAGAAGGGCAAAAATGTCCAAAAAAAAATTATCACGCGTGATAAAAGTTCTCACGCTGGCAACCCCCAGATAAAATTTACAGACATACGCTGATAAGCTTCCTGCCCGGAATTTTATCCGGCCTTGTTACATGCGTAACGAATGCATGATAAAGGGGAACAAGTCTAATAACTTTATCGTTATCAGCCTTATTCTCCCAATCGAACACCTCTTTAGTTAAAAGTGAAAAGAACCTTTTGTGACATTTAAATAATTTAGGACAAATTATCAAGCGGAATAGCTTGGCAAAATTAACTGTTCAGGGAGTTAAAATATAAAATATTTTTTTTCAAGTTAGAAAAAAATATTATTTATTAAGAATATTTATATTTTAAAAATATTTTTGTTATTATAACTATTGCAAGTATACATTTATATAATTATATGTACATATTTGTATAATTATATGTATAAATATGTGTAAATATGAGTATGTATCTGTTAGGGGTATTCATGGTTTTTTTAAAAACCATACCGTACTGTACTAAACCATACCGAAAGTTAGGGTTTTTTAAAAAAAATTTATAGGTTTTGGTATTAAGTAATACCGTACTGAATTTTGATACGATTTTGTTTTATAAATTCAAAATCGACAAAAAACCGTACTAAACCGAATATTATATATATAATAATTTATTAAATTATTTATATCATATATAAAATGATTAAATTTTAAAGTATTAACTATAATTCAATAGTAAATTAAAGAAATTAAAAGGTTAAGGGTTTATATGAAAAAGGAATATAAATATTATGGATTAAAGTGTTAAAAATGATTCTAATATATATCTTATACTCTTATAACTAATTTATTAACTTATACATTTATTAGAAAATGAGAACATTCTTTTTTTTATTATCAAATTTCTGTTATAATACAGTGAATCACTTACCAATTTATCATCTAATTTAAACTTCATAAATTACTTAACACATGATAACTCCTAACTTAAAAAAAAAAGAATTTCTTAAATACACTTTTTCATTGTAAATAAATAAAAAAATTTCACTTAACAGATCTAAAAATAATTCTAGAAAAAAATTAAATGAAAACAATTACATGTAGAGAAATTTGAACTAAGTATTAGACTTTTTTCCCATCCAAAACCTTAATTAAAAAAAATTTACCATTGTCAAATAAATACAAATAATTGAGAATTAAATTTCAATTCTTAAAATAGAAATTGTTGAATTTTATATTTTAACTATCAATAAAAATTAAGTGTAAAATAATGAATACATATTTAAA